GAGGATGGTCTCCTCTATCTCAAGCCTTTTAAAATGTTTTCTTGCCACTCCGGGGATATTGCCCCAAACCTCTCTCCTCTTTAGAAACAAGTCTGATACAATCCCCAAGCTTCCTCTTCACCTGTCCCCTAGCTGTCACCCATCTCTCTCCCTCATCTCCTTCTATGCATGCCTCCAAAGGTTTTCTCTATATCCCCCAGTTTCTGCAGCTGTGTTTTAACAATTTGGCTTTTCTGAATGTTGATGTGGTGGCCAGTTTTATGTCAACTTGACGCATTTGGGAAGAGGAAAACCCAATGGAGAAAATGTCCCCACCAGATCAGTCTACAAAGTCTATGGGGTCTATTTCTTGATTGATGATTGATGTGTGGGAAGGCCCAGGTCACTGTGGGCGGTGCCGCCCCTGATCTGGCAATCCTGGATGATATAAGAAAGCAGACCGAGCCAGCCATGAGAAACCAGCCAGTTAGCGGTGCTCCTCCATGGCCTGTGCATTGGCTCCTTCCTCCAGGTTCCTGCCCTGTTTGAGTCTGTCCTGACTTTCCTCAGTGATGGACTGACTGCCATCTAGAAATGAAAGGCGAACTAAACCCTTTGCTCCCTGGGTTGCCTTTGATCGTGGTGTTTTATCACCATAATAGAAAGCCTAACTAAGGCAACTGGGTTGGCTCTAGTGACAAAGAGCGTACACTTGGGGCTGGAGAGGTGACTTAGGTTAAAATGTGAACTGCTCCTGCAGAGAACCCAAGTTCAGTTGCCAGCACTCAAATCTGGCAGCTAATAACCACCAGAACTCCAGCTCCAGGGGGATCCAACGCCCCACTGACACCTGTGTTCAAGCACACACATCCACACAGAGGTACACACACTGGCACATAATGAATACATTTAGCTGGGGGATGGTAGTGCACACCTTTAATCCCAGCACTCGGGAGGCAGAGGCAGGTGGGTCTCTGTGAGTTCAAGGTCAGCCTAAACTCAAAGAAATTTTGTTTCAAAAAGCAAAAACAAAACAAAAAAGAATGTCTGAAAAAGAGCTCACAACAAGTTTTAAGAAATAAAGCAAATCAGCCACGCATGGTGGCTCACTCCTGTAATCTTAGTATTGGGGAGACCGAAGCAAGAAGATCGAGGCCAACTTTGTCTACATAATGAGTTTCAGGGTGTCATGGGATACAGAGTGAGACCTTGTCTCATAGGTGGGTGGGTGGATAGATAGATAGATAGATAGATAGATAGATAGATAGATAGATAGATAGATAGATACCCAAGTGTGAATTATTGCTGCCTTCTGCTACCCTTAGGCTCGTAGTGCTGGGAGTAAGGGTGAGGAACCAGGAGGCATGGACACAATTGTACCCTTCAACTGTGTGCTCCCTCAGCCAGACTGAAGGCCCTGAAGGGAAGGGGCAAGTCTTCCAGGTAGGGGCCATTAGCATTTGCATCCGGAGTTGGCAGCCCTGGCAGTCCTCCAGGGGCACTCAGCACAGCTGGAAGGTAGAGCATTGCTAGGTCATGCTCTTCCTCTGTCAAGAGTTTATCTGGGTGTAACTGGCTATTATCAGAAGAGCAGCGCGGGTTCACATCTCTGCTTCCTTCACCCAGGTCAATCAATCATACTTAATGTTCTCTCTTACATCATCCTCTGACATCGTAATAAAGTTGTTTGTAATGTTAAGCCCAAGATCCGTCTCATTTACTCACTCTGGTGATCCTACAAAAGGACTCTAATTAGATGAGGTATTAACCTAATAAGGCCCCCAGATGGAAGAGGCAGGCCCCACATTTCGTCTCTGTGCTGGCTGGTGGATAGAATTCAGCCTGCACCATCCGTCCTCTGGAGAGTGAAACTATCGAGCTTACCATAGTCTTCACTGTGGTTTTTAGTGTTGGCTTTTCACTTCGGTACTTAGTTTTAGCTCAGTGCTAACGCCACACTGTTTTAACTACCATACATTTTCATTGTGCCTTGATATTTGGTAGGGTGAAGTGTCCCTTTATTGTTACTTTTTGATTAAGAATATTTTGGTGACACATTTTTATCTTTCATGTGAACTTTATAGCTGATTTTTTTCCTAGCAGATCACTTTTAAGCTATTTACTTATTTAGTTAGTTAGTTGTATTTAAGGTCTTGATTATTTGCCTGTGTGTATGTATTCAAACTATATGTGGGCGTGCAGTGCCTGCAGAGGTCTAAAGAGGGCATCGGATTCCCTGGAACTAGAGAGGTAGGCAGTTGTGAGCTACTATATTGGTGCTGGGAACTAAACCTGGGTTCTCGGCAAGAGCCACCTGTGTTCTTGACCACTGAGCCTAGATCACCTTTTAAAATCAGCATCAAGGAAGATCAAATCAGCAAAAATGAGCTGGACTTTATGACATTCCAAGATATAGTAAGACCAAAAAGAAAATTTAAAAAAAAACATAAAATTTGTCAGTGTAGACAAGAGATAACTGCCATACAAACCACACAGGTACTTAAAGAAAGCCCTTCGGAGGTGAGTCCTCTATTATATAGTAGATGAGAACTCCCCTCAACTTGATATCCAGACACTGAAAAGGCTGACTGAATGAGTCATTCTATGGGATGAGGGGCATGGGCTTTTGTGGAGGCCAGGTAGACATCAGGTATCATCTTTAATTTCTCTCCACCTTACTTTTGGGGACAGGGATGCTCACTCAACCTGGAGTTGATCAGTTTGGTTAGGCAGGCTAAGCAGCAAGCTCCGGGGAACCAGCTGTTTCTGCTTTCTTGGGGTTGGGGTTATAGACGTGCATCTCACACCCAGCTCTTTGAATGGTTCTTTTATGTGGGTTCATGTCCTCATGTCTGTGCAGCAAGCGCTTTACCAACTGAGCTGTCTCCCCGGACTCTTTATGAAAAAGAATTTCAATTAAAAAGGGACCCACAAAAGATATACCAAGGGGAAAACATTGGCAAGTAAGTCGGTGCTACTCTTAACACACAGGTGGTCCTAAAAATAAAGGAAGAATGCAGTCCTATAAAAAGCAGAAAGTAGATAAAGCATAATAGTAAGAGAGACACAATAAAAAAAAACACTTTTGCTAGGCACAGTCTCCTCCAAAACACCACAATAATCTACTAACAATACAAAGGCAGTCACCAACTAGTTGATATTGAGGGACACCAGAGGGAGATGTAGCTCAATGGTAGAGCAATTGCCTAACATCCAAGAAGTCCTGGCACGGTAGCAGATACCCAGCCCTGGAGAGGTTGGGGACAGATCTCCAAGATACAGCTCACATTGCCTAGAATGTAATGACTCCACAGAAAGGCTCGTTTCTACATGGGTCCTACCTCATTCTGTGCAGAGTATGCCCAGGAAGACTTGCAGTCCCTAGCTCACCCTCCAGGAGAGTCGATCCTCTGGGAGTCAAGCACAGGCTGTGAAGTGGACAGTGATGGTGTCAACCCAGGAATAGGGAACCTTGGGAAAATCAGGAACAAAAAAAAAGTGTCAAAGCAAGCAGGAGAGCAAGGGTTTCTTTGCTTTTAGATAATGAAGATTATTTTTAAAAAATAAAGAGGAATAAATGATTTGTTATAATGCTTTCATACAGAGCGTAAGGTTTTTACCAAAGCATTGTTAATGTTAAGCAGGATATAATTACATTATCAAATGTGCCTTCTTTGTTATCAGAACTCTATCTATTTTATTAAGAAAATCAACAAAATTCAGCCCCTTTGTCCTGTATGCTGTGGTGACTTGAATGAGGACAGCCCCCTAGGCTCATATATTTGAGCCTTGGTTCTCAGTGGGTGGAATGATCTGGAAAGAATTAAGAGGTGTTGGAGGAAGTGTGTCATCATGGCGGGCAGGCTTTGAAGTTTCAAAACCCATACCCCATTTCCCATTAGCTCTCTCTGCCTTCTGCTTGTGGGTCAAGATGTGAACTCTCAGCTACTGCTCCGGTGCCATGACTGTCTGCCTGCCATGCTCCTCAACACAGTGGCTAGGGACTTGCTTTCTGAAGCTTTCAACCTCACTCAACTCTTTCTTGTGTAGATTGCCTTGGTCATGGTGTTTCTGCACAGAAATGAAGAGTAACCAAGACAATGCTAGATCTTGTTCAGTCTTTCAAGAATGGCTTTTCATTGTTCCTTGCCCTTTATTCTCTACTACGTTCTTTTTAAAAACAGCTTCTTTAGATGTCTAGCCCCTTCTTGGCTCTAGTAACCTCAGTTCTGCTGTGGGACAATGGATTTTTTTATCCTGTCACTTGTATTATTTTTAATAAAATGCTGGTTGGCCAGTAGCCAGGCAGGAAGTATAGGCAGGGTGATGGCAACCAGGCAGGAAGTAGAGGTGTGGCAAGGAGAATTATGGGAAGAGGGAAGTTTCAGTCTACAATTGTAACCCAGATGCAGTGGACGCAAAATGTGACTGCCTCGCCAAAAAAGGCACCAAGCCACGTGGCTAACAGAGACAAGAATAATGGGCTAATATAAGTTATAAGAATTAGTTAATAAGAAGACCTGAGATACTGTGCCAAACAGTTTATAATTAATGTAGACCTCTGTGTGATTCATTGAACCAGTTCTCTCTCTCTCTCTCTCTCTCTCTCTCTCTCTCTCTCTCTCTCTCT